CTATGTTGGAGGGCATTTATGAACAGGAATCTGGAATTAACAGAATTATTCTAAACACGATTGTGCTTTTTTTCTGTGCCATGCTTTTGTGGCTGTGGATTGATGTCTTTAGTAGTATTGTCCTGCTGGAAGGTAAAACTCTACCCCACTTCTCATGCCATTGGAAGCATTCAACAAGTTATCTTCCATCATAGCCTTGTATATAGATTAGAGCTGGGTAATTAATTACATTTGCAATATAAATGCAATTTTACAAAATGTATTCAAAATGCAGAGGAACTCATCCCTGGTCACATTAAAATGTAAATGAAGTAAGACAGTAACTTTCTCACTCCAGCCCTTCTGTGGCAGGAATATGCTTAAAGTGGGCTTTTCAGAAGCCAAGGGAGAGTTGCAGCTAGCAACCAGATTAATGCAAGAGTCAAAGTAATAATTTTCTTACTAAATTGTAGTTATAAAGTTCTGCTACAATTGATTCTTGACTAACAAGTCTTGAACACCATGAAACCCTAGAGTGTAACCTATGCATGCATGTGGCTAGTGCAAATGAGGAAATTAAATAAAATAGCAAATACATAAAATTGCTATAACAATTTTTATATTTTGCTAAATAGCTCTAATTTCGATCTTTAAGTCCGACCATCCAAACTAACCAGCTTGATGGTTTCCAGTGAAAAAAAAGATTCTCCAGTGATTATGATATTCGATCACTTGATTTTACTATTGGGATACTTCGGGATGTGGCAAGCTAGGGGCAGGAATATTTACTCAAAAATCTTGTGATCATTTAAAACCCAAATTTGTGGAGTGTGCATTTTTTTGTGTGAATTTGCATCTAAAAGTTGTTCTGGCCAACAATTTTCCTACATGAGCTATTAGGTTATTTAGATACAGATTTATCCAAGCACATTTGAATTAATAATGCATTATCTCTAATAAATAGAACCAATTTATTTTCAAATTGGTTGAAGTTTAAAGGCAAATGGAGATTTCATTCTGGGATAAAAGAAGCTGATTCAAAAGTTTTTTTAAATGTTTCATTTTAAAAAATCCAACAAAGCTGTGTCATGTTGTTTCAATGTGACAGCCATATACTATATTGTGTAGTGAAAATAACAATAGAATATATCGAGATTTGTGCCTATAACATTACAAAGCGTGAAAACCATTGAACAAATGTATAAATCTCCACAGTGTGCTAAATACTTTAAGAGTAACTTTGTAAAAGTATAATGCCCTCTGTTGACTGTCAGTGGAAATATATCTCAGCTAATAAATAAACATTCTTCCAGATAAATATGTCTGTCAAATTGTGACCTTTTATCACATCTTTCTTTTCTTTTTGGAGCTACTTGTAAAAAAACGAGAAAAAAAAAAAAAAAAACAGAAAACAAGTGGTTGTATTATTATGTAAAGTTATGCCTATAAAAACATGAGTCTGCCCCTCTTCTGCATTCACCTTCACCTGGCAAGCATGACTCAACCTCCCATTTTCCCCATAGTGGTTGAAAGACAGTTTTTATTGAAGCCAGGTGTGGAGCCACATCCTGTCTTATGTTTCTGGGGAGAGTTCCTCAAACCAGATCATAATATGCTCTGAATCTTTACATAATGCAGAGATAGGCAGGCAACACTTCTCTATGTTTGGAAAGTTTTGCAGAAATGCAGTTTGTTTTAAATGAAAATTGAAATTATACCTTAAACCTTAGGTTTATTTAAATGACTGCCCTTTGGAAATACTGTATTGAATGGCTCACGAAGGATTATGTATTATACATACGCGGAATAGAAAATCACTAACATAACACACAGCTCACAGTCAAGAGCACACAGGTCAAAGTCATAGCCTACGAACAAAATTCTCTTTGCTGTCAAACGACTCCATAAATCATGTAATGTTAAAAATTACAGTGAAGGGAGGAAAAAAAAAAGCATTTCCAACTCAGAAGACTTCAAGATATGAAAAACTGCTTGTCTCCACATACCAACAGCAGCTTGACCACTTCAGCTCAGGCCTGTGTGCTACCCTAGGGAGAGGGGGTCAGGGGATGAAGGAGGGGGAAGGTTTAAAAAAAAAAGAAAAAAAAAAGATCTTGCTGGTCTGTACTTCTCGGCTCCTTTTGAAGCTTGGTAGTATTACAGTGGAATGAGTTCTCTGTCATCGGATGAATAAGCTAAGCTCTCTGAAAGGATGTTTACCTCTTACACCTAAAAGGAAGACAGTTGCATCCCAAGCAGATGAAGGACCAAACTAAAGGTGGACAGATATACTGATAGCATTCATCTATACCATTATATAGATTAATAGTTTTTAGCTGGTTCTGTGCCAGGCAGACCCAGCCTGACACATAATCAAAGATGGAGAAAAATGGAGAAGTATCTTTTTTATCATCTTCTATTGCTGAATAATAATTAGCGCCACAATAATAAGCAAATTCCAACCCACAACTAGAACAGTGTGAAATAAAATAATGTGCATAGACAGTCCCAGTTGACTGGGGCATGTGTGTAGGTTTATGGCTCCAGTCAACCTCCCAATCATAAAGGAAAAAAATATAAAGTAAACATAAAAAATTTATAGCACCCTATTGCATTTGTAAATGTGTGGCTTGGTCAGGACAAGAGGAATTTAAAAAACACACAAAAAATGCAGAGCATTAGGTTCTATCACCCTCTGGCTTTTGGCAGATGCTGTCTTAGCATTACCTGATATGCCATATTGATAACATGTAGAACTCAGATTAGCTTTACACATTATTAATCTGGGACTACTTTGACTGAATATGTTGTGGGGTTGGGGGACCTTCAGCAGAAACTTTCGAGCTGATTGGGAGAAGTAAAACCAAGTGCCTGACTTAAGCCCCATTTATGGCCCCTTATGAAACCATGCCCAGAATTGGGTTTCTGAAAACCCAAATCGGGTAGCTGACTGGACTGGATCGGGCATTCGAACCGAGCCATCAGCTCCGTGGCTGGTCCGGGTCTGGAGCCGGCCGGGGATGGAGGGACCGAACCCGAACTGTTGATGCGGGAAGCACGTGGCTGCGACTACTGTCCCTCCGTCCATAAGACTTCCCAGACCAGGCCAGGATCGAATGGGTTGGTTCTGCTGTGTAGTCGACCGAAATCCTGGACGATTTTGACATTTCCACCGGACATTTTTTTAGGTATGAAAAGTAGTACATGTCCGGAAAAAAGAGGACATCTGGTCACCCTAGTGCAAGCACAGTAACCGAGATAACTGTTGAGTGTAAATGGTACACAAAACTGAACCAGACCATAAACCGGTTAAGTTTTGGTACAGTTCTCAAATAACAAATTCTGCTTAGTAGTGTGATGAACCTCAAAGTCTGTCATTTTGTCCTGCATCTCTAAGCCCTGATTAGACTGTTGTTTGTCGTATCCACTTCCCAAAAGCCGACTCCATCAGGTAAATTCATCAAAGGCTGCCTTCTTCGCCTGACTTCCGCAAGCAACAAAATATCACAATTATAACCAAACTTCCTGAATGTTAACGGCATCACCATGTTTATTTGCTTGTTTACCTCTAGAGAGCAGTAGTACCGTAGATCGTCACTAGGAGGTGAGGAACTGTGTTAACGTGGTGTGTTAACGGTCGTAAGGAGCCGAGCTCGGCTTGGTTAACTGATCCAAGCTCGGTCCAGTAGTGTAAATGTTGCTTATGTATTTTATTTATACTATACTATACTATATATACTGGCAACACAACAAACAGAACACACTAGCTGTATCTATGGGTGGCTCTCGATGGGGGGCCCTGTAGAACCAGCCCTGGTCCCTGTAGTAAAGACATAATACTAAATAAATTTATAATAAAGAAATCATGATCCGTGCTGGCACAGAAACCATTTTGTTCTTTATTTTTTGTTTTATTTTAATGATGATGGAAAAATTAAGTTGTTGCACTTTTATTCAAAAGTCATACTGAGATCCTCTTATGGGTTTCATCTACTACCTCTTACATTTCCAGAGCTTCAAATGCCTTTTTGTACTATTTATATTTTAAATGATCAGTGGTGTCAAAAGTACACACATTTGTTACTTAAGTAGAAGTATAGATACTGCAGTTTAAAAACACTCTGGTAAAAGTTGAAGTATCAACTTGACCTCTTTACTCAAGTAAAAGTGAAAAAGTATGTGCTCCAAAAACTACTTAAAGTATAAAAGTATAAAGTAACCTTTAAGAAAAAGGCCAGATGCCACTATATGAATTGAAAGCTCAATTTATCGAATATTTTGAAAATTTCTTTGAGATAGGGCCAAAGATGAGGGAGGTCTTGTTGGTCTCCTTCTCCCGATACGCTCTCGCCTGTGTCTGACCTTTCAGACATTTCAACATCTTTTTCTGAATCTGACATTGTAGCATGGCATAGACAATTCATGTTTGCAGTTTGAAGAACACCTGCTTGCTTCTGATGATTTCCTTCAGCTAACCAATGAGTGTTTCTGTTATATGACTCATCCGATAACACAAAATCTCACTAGATGTGGATGGCGCCAATGATCTGCACTGGATGGGGCACATGACTTGAAATAAATATTTATAAACATTAAACCAAAGCCAAGATTAATGAGTAATGTTTGTTTTAAAAAAGTAATGGAAAGTACAGACACTTGTGTGAAAATGTAATGAGTAGAAGTCAGAAGTAGGAAGAAAATAAGTAATGGAGTAAAGTATAGATACTTAAAAAGTGTACTTAAGTACAGTAACGAAGTATTTGTACTACTTACTTGACACCTCTGTAAATGATTAACCTTTTCTCTGTTTTGTTAAACTATTTTGTTTGGTGCCTCCATGAAAAAACAACAAAAAAAAACACTGGCTCTATGTTGGCCACTTTGGTAAATCTGGTCTAGAACCGCCACTGGCAGTATCATTTGACAGGAGAATCATTAGACTCCGAGTCACCTTGTATGAATAATCCATGTCTGGTTTTCACGGATACCTCCGGCTCAGACGGCTCCCGCAGACGGCTGCTTTCACTGCACTGGCAGTGTTTGCTGGAAGCCCGCTCCGCGCTGCTTCTACCAAGTGTCTCAACACTGTGAGCGGGATCTCTTCCAGAAGCGAGCCGCTGAAACTTGCCCAGTGTCCACAGTCTGATTTAGGGGAGCCAACAGAACAGCATCGGTGGCTATAAGGAGGCTTTTCTTTACAGCACCCCGTCATCAGACATTGAAAAAGCCCACATTCTGTGTTTGTTACTCTGTCACTAGTCTTTTTTTTTTTTTGGTTTTTATTTTTTTTATTTTTTTCAACGCCTACCTTGTTTGTTGCTGCTGCATCGGGAGTGAATGCACAGCGGAGCGCCGCGACTTGATGAGCCGCTCATAGCGGTGCTTTGAGGTGTTGATGAGTTAGGACTGAGCGCACAGCAACACCTTGCATGCCATGGAAGTGCGCGTCCGGCGCAGGGGGGATGTGTGCAGGCTGAGAAGGGGACTCTGATAGCCAGCCGCTCTGTCCCAGATTAAAGGGGGGGAGGCATGCCTCAGACCTGCAGACCAACTCTCATCGCTGCAGAGGAGATTCCACCAGACTTTATTTACACAATCTGACATATTATTTTTTTTAACAAATCACATTTAATTTCTTTCCAAACTGACTTTTTTTTTTTTACCATGTCATTTTGGCGACTACCACTACATTTCATAAAAGGTAAGACACTACTACTTACTCATTTAAATAAAATATTTTACTTTTGTTTTTGGGGGGTTAAATTGAATTTCTAACATGTCCTCTCTTTCTACCTTACTATTATTTTTATGTTGTTTGGACATGGGTAACTTTTATTTGTAAATATAAAGTACCCAACCCAAACTTTTAAACGTGTAAAAAAATTAATAAAATTAAAATAATACATTTTCTAAATAGGCCCCAGAAAGGAAGGAAAATCAGTCATTTGAATCGTGGATAATTGAAACCAAGTTAATCAAAACGTAACCAGATGTGGATTGATTTGAATCAAAAAGTGTTTCAAAGTAGGTTGGAGCGCATTTTAGGCGAATCACATCTAATAAAGCTTACAGCATTAAGAATGTATGGCCTAAAAAGTTAAGCTGCAGTTTGGTGGTCATATACATATCCACTGGTGGTCTTGTTGTTTTGAATGAATGCTGGGAATTAGTGTGTAAGCTGTGACACGATGTTGGCTTGATTCTTGAGCGCGTTCTCGGGCCAATCCATTATGTTTGGGGTCAGGCTGATGGTGCGTAAAGCAAAAATATTTTACAAGTCATACTAATTTGTGCTGTAATTAGTTTTGGGCCAACAATAACACTAGTATGGAATGTTTCTGTCAGGACAAGCGTGCAGAATGACGTTGAAATTAAAGAGCGTGGTGCGAATTTTGGCGAAAACATGAAATAAAAGAGAGGCGGACAGAATATGGAGAAAAGATTTAGACAGTTTGGTACCCAGAGAAATGGTAAATTTAGATCCATTCACTGCACATGTATTATTTAGGCCTAACGATTCCGAACATGTCTTGTCAACCATGGTTTGAGATCCGGGAGCTCACATGCTGCGCGGTGCGCGCTTTCTCCCCCGGCTGAGGACAGGCGCGCACAGCGGCCAGCCGCTGGTGATGACGCATGGTAGCCTGGAGCAGAGCAGCAATCTGTTGTGATCGATCTGTGAATTGGGGTAAATTTAGCTCAGGTATTCACATAACACCCTCCCCCTCTTTTTTAGCCCGAAGATCTGCTCTGAAAAAAAGAGAAACAGAGAGAGAAAAGAAATCCTGTCTGGTTGTAAACTCCCTGAATGTCGTGTCTGAAATACCTTAAAGCAACATATTATTGGGGATCATTTGTTAGACGCCACAGTTAAGTGAAGTGGGACTTTCTTCTTTCTTTTTATCTGTTAAAACATAAATAACTAAGTGAATGGGATTTAATGCTTTAACATTTTAAGTCCTCAGAAGGCAAAAACAGAAGAATAAAGTGGATGTTTTGAGAGCACCCCCAATAATACATAACTATGTGATTGTTTAGAGACAGAATAGGAAGACTTGTTTGTGTTGTCTTGTTTTTTAATTGGGCTACAAAAGCTTTACTTGTTGTTCCAGCTTTTGTTGTCATTTTTACTTAAGTTTCACCCATTTCTGCATGGTGAAGCAAACAGAAATTCCAGCAGTAAAGCAGAAAGGTATTACCATATCAAAGTAGTCGGAGCCTTTTCAGAATGAAAGGAGACTTATTTTCTGCAAGTGGTTTTGGTTGACCCTAAAATGCTTCGGCAGGAGAGTGCTTCCTCCCCCCACAATTTCAAATAATGTGTTGCTTACAAGCCTCATTATAAGTTGTTGCAGCCTCATAAATAGTTTATACTAATTTGCTAACTGAACAAAAAACCCACTTATAAATCATAGATGAAAAATAAAGTAGAAGCACCTGCAAAGCTTCAGTTTTTGCTCCAAATACACCTGACTACTTTTTCATCACCCAGTTGAGTTGAGTTTCAGGTGTGGGGGGGTCTTCTCTGTTATCTTTGCTGCAACCCTGGGATCCCCAGTAGGAATACTTTACCACAAGAGAGTACCTTTTTTTTCAGCCCATAGGAGCCTTGATCCAGCGATGGGAGTGAGTCCGGTTTCATGGAACTGCAGCTGCTCTTGATGTGCCAGAGCACCAGATAGCCTCGGCAAGCTGCTGTTCATCTGCTAGCAAATCGATACAGCCCAGGAACATATCTATATGGGTTGGAGGAAGGCAGTGATGTATATTGCTGTATTTCCTAACTTTTTAGGCTACGTTGTTCCTAAATTTGCCACCGTGACGTGTGTGAAAGCAAATGGGTGAATCCTTTAACCTTTTGTGAAATAAAGAGGTGTTCGACATTTTTACCCTCATACCAGCAGCCGGGTTTCTATCTGTGGATATTTGACTTTCTTAAAACTTGTTGGAAGCTACATTCCTATCTTCTACAAGCCATTGAATTCCACTCTAGTTTTCATCATGGCAATTTGTTGTTTGGTAAATTAAATATTAGCAAAAAAATAATAAGTTGCACTCTATTATTTTCGATCAGGCTCTCAGATGCACACATAGTGGCTTGTTGTCCTTGTCCGAGCAGCAATTGAAAAATAGTGAAAGGTTGCAATGTGGAGAAATAGATTTTTTTTTAATGTAGCAATTTTACACTGTAGTGCTGTGTTGCCTTTGTCCGCATTCAATAACACTGAGTTCAAGCTCATCCTTTTTGTCCTTCATGAGCGTCATAAGCCTTTGTTAGCAGACAGTGTGAAAGCAACCAGTTTGGAGTTGCAATCTGCCCAAATGATGTGTTAGTCGCTCCATGGAGTATCAAGGAAATGATGGATGCTGCGAAAATGTCAGCAGAAAAAAAAGCAAAAAAAAAATTCTGGGAGTTAGGAGAGTTTAGATCTACATCCCATTGCTTATTTGGCGTGTAAATTGTGGGTTTGTGTTTTAAGATGCAATAATTTCTGTTCCTAACCCACCTACATGGAGCAATACTGTGCTCATTATTAAAGGGAATAAACAAGGCTGTAAGAGGAACGCTATGGCAAATTTGATGTAACGTTTTGGCCTTTGGTGGGCCAACTTTGGCCCTTTACATGACTGGTTTTGTTTTACGATTAGCAATCAGTAAAAACACCATGTGCCACTGCGTTCTCCTCCCTGCCATTTTGTGAAACATTTGTTTCCACTTGCCAAAGGCTTTTGGTGCAGCAAAGGGTTCAGTGTGTGTGTGTGTGCTGGTGGGGTGCTCAGAAGCTCAGTGCCCTCTGAAATGGCAGGTGAAACTTTCTGCCTGCCTTAATAATTTCCCAGCAGAACATTAGTCTTTAGGGACCGAGGGGCCGAAGGTGAGGCTCAATTCAAACTTCGTTGACAAGAAACAACACGACTCTTAGTCGATGGCTCGCATGTCGCATTCATGCTGGTTAAGTGGCAGCCTTTGAGCTTTTTCTTGCTTTACTGAAAAGCACATGGTTGAAGGGGAATTGACTGTTTAAACTCATACGCTCTTTTTATTATGGCCTGATTTTATATCTTCAACAGCTGTGCAGAGTGATATTAGCACTGTGTGTTAATACTCAGTGGAATTATTTAGGTGCTTTATGTTTTTGTTAAGTCTAAAGCTGTGAAATGTAATTTTTAAAAGGTTTAAGATATTTGAAAATATTTTCTGTAGATATTTGATTCCATATTTTAAAGGTTAAAATGTGATTAAAATGTGGTAAAAAAAATGATTATCAGATCTTTTTTGAAATATAATTTATTAATAAGATTAAATGACAAACACACACACCATAGATGGGGAGCACCGACCTCCAGTTTTACCACAATATAGTGTACAATATATTTTTTGAACAACTGATATTTGTTATTTTTAAAAATCATCACAACATTTTTATTACCTTTACATCTATTACAATATCTATTCAGATCTATAAATACTCATTTAATAATAAACATACCTATTTACCTATACCAGGGGTCTGCAACCTACGGCTCCGGAGCCACATATGGCTCCTTGGACCCTCTCTAGCGGCTCTTAATAGTGGCTAAAATGTATATAAGGAGCTAAATAATTTACTATAATATATACCTGTATCAATAGCTTTAGCATTTTTTATAAGATGGAAAAGAATGAGATTAAAAGAACCAGAAACCTGTTTTAAGAGACATTTTTCTATTAATTAGCTTGAAAATTATAGGTTTTAACATTAAGAATATATGAATTGATTGTTTGAGATGGCAACAACTAATTTCCTATACAAGATTTTTAAAAATAATATGTATTTTGCGGCTCTAAACAACTTTTATTTGGTCGTACTCTGGGCAAAACGGCTCTTAGGATATGAAAGGTTGCAGACCCCTGACCTATACCAAATAAAGCAAATTTAATATTACATTTAGATTCAGAGCTTAGAAGCTCACAGCAATTGTGTTCAATCAGATTTCCAAGTATATTGATATTGATTGAAAAGAGTTTGAATTATAAAAGCAGCAACTCTATCCCAGCCGGTTTTGGGGGTTTCAAATATTCAGCTATGTTTTATTAATATGGTAAATTCTAATTCTTAACACAATATGTATTATTTATTCATTTTTTTATGAAGGCGATAACCGATACAATAATTGCCTTTCCCTAAATCACACATGCTCACACACCAGCGTGCACACAGACGCCATCATAGTCTCATTCTTTGTGCAATGTGAACAGGACTTGTCCTTATCTGTGCACAGCTGCAAGACTATTTGGGAAAATATTCAATTTCTGTGTGACAGAGGAGAACCTGGTAGGCAAGGCTCTGAGCAAACAGCAGTTATTGCAGCTCTGCTTTTGCACCGGAGAGAGAGGCCTGGCTGAGAGACGGGGGGGATCTGCGGACGTCTGCCAGGGGAAGGAGTGATGTCTCGGCTGGATTATAGCAGAGCGAGGCGCATCCACACTTAAAAGCCCCCCTTATTTCCGACACAACAGATCTGTTATTTTGGGATGGCGCGGGTAGACATGTAGGAGTAATATATGTCTCCCAATAGACACTGATCTTGTCCTTGACAAATGTGAGCGATTGGAAGTAAGAGAAGTTTAATCTTTATATTTATTTATTACTATTATTTTGGTGTTAATTTTATGTTCTGGTATGGATTTTTCTAAATGTATTTAATTTGGCAGCCTTC